TCTCTGTAATTTGTATAGTTTCAAGAATTCTAATAAAGTACTAGTGTGACTGCTTAAGTTAAAAAAAAAAAAAAAAATCAATAACATATGTATCATTTTTGTTAGTACTGTTGCTTAACATGCCCCAAATAACCAATACTCTAATTCTGTAAATGTTTGTAATTGGACCTGTATCCAACATCCTAATGATTTAAAATTTGAATATGTTATATAAAACCCAATGCATAATAATCAGAACTTGTATTTAAACTCATATCTATTAAAAGAGTAGATATAGATGAGAACTTTAAATCAGGAGCCAACTCTTCAAATTAGCAAAATTGCAATTTAAAATTTTATTTTCTTGATATAACGGAGATTATTATAATTTACTATAATATCTGATATATTGTGAGAGTTTGATATTACGGAACTTTTGATATAACGGAGCCAAGGTCTGGAACCATAGCCTCCATTATATCGAGAGGCACTGTGTACTAGTATTACTAATTTTACTAATTTTATCAATATCATTAATTTTATTAATATTACTAGTTCTATTAGTTTATTAGTATTACCAATATTACTAATATTAGTAATTAGTGAAAATTGATGCATTATTGCAATTTAGTTTCACTAACAAGACATCAAAAATATATTAATAGATACACTTTACAAAAACACCAAATATTATTTTGAATTTACTGCTTTCTTCAAAGAAGTTTTTTTTTTTAACAATAATTTTAGATCAGATATCAGAAACAATTAACAGATATGCTTTACAAGAATACTAAATACTAATTTGACTTTACCGTATTATACTAATTTTCTCTAGTTATTTTAAATAATAGACTTGGATCAGACATCAAAAAACATTAGCAGATGCACTTTACAAGAACACCAAGTTTCTTTAGTTTTTTTTTAAATAATATTCTTGGATAATGGCCTATCGAGTTAATAACTTTCGAAGAATCGTACCGTTACCATAGTAAAGATATAAGTCTAAATTTAATTAAAATAATGTTTTGGGTCTCTAAACATTTTTATCTGGCATTGGTTATTTAACAGTTTTTGAGATGAAACAACTGTGGTGTTGAATACGTACCACTAGTAGGATTCTGCAAGCGCCGGGCATGATGCATTACGCCTGGGCACGCGGCACTAGTGTTGATTTAATAAAACCGGTTTAAAAAATGGTTTTAAATTGAGATCTGTTAGAGTTGTCAGAATGACAGATGAAGCGAAAATCTTTATATTTGGCCACAATACTATCTAAACCACTTGTAGTTTGCTTTAAACCCAACTATAGTTGTAATAAATAATGGATTCTCCATTTTGATTAACACTCCATTCTTTTAATTTTATGTAAAGTCTATGATAATACAGTGTGGCCCTCTTAGTTGACCAAATAATTTAAATATTCTAAGGTTAGAAAAAAAAAATAATATAATAAAACTTTTTAAAACAATAAATTTAACTAATTTGTAATATAACGCATTTCTACTAAAAAAAAATCAAAGTGAAATCCATTTTACAATTTGAATTTCCAATCATTAATATTAAACCATACAGCTATAGCAACGATAACAAACATATAGGCTGCTAATATACATTCAGCCCAACCATAATTTACAAACAAAGTGCGTATAGATAAATTAACTAGTCCGGTTAATATATTAGCCTAATCCAATCATGCAAAATATAATTAGAAAAATAACAACCACAAAAAAACAAATAAAAAACGAGAGAACTTACCAAAAGAAATACAGCCAACCCATTGGAATTCACAGCCTCAAAAACTAATGGTAAATTTCTTTCATTTTTCCAATATTCTTCAAAAAAAACTATTTCCACGATTTGAAATAATAACAAAACAGTTGTATTACAAGATACCACCAAGAATATATAGCTTAAATTCGCAATCCTTCTAGATACTGGGATTCTAAGTATCACGCAAAATATGAATCCAAGCCAAAGTAGAATAGCCCATGAAAATAATATCATGGCTAATTTTTTTGGTTTCGGCTTTTTAGTTTGTCTATTTTGGCGAATCGCATAATAAGGATCAACTGGTAATATGTAGTGACCTATATCTAGGGCAACCAGAAATATAGATAGGTAACCTATGTTTGAAATAGAACATTTTAATCGTAATCAAAATATAAATGAATATATTTAAAAAATAAAGAAATTTCTTTACCCCAAAAACTGCATATGCCTTCTTTATTTGAACTAATCAAATCAGTACGAGGAGCATTCAATATGTAATCTTCAAGACCAAGTCCATAAAGAATAATTTGATATACTATAAAGACAAGTAAAATTAGGTAATGTATAATATTGAAAATTTAGCAGAATCTGAAAGTTTAATTTTATTAAGTTATACTTTACAAACAGCGATGGACAACCCGAGAATAGAAAATCGGATATATTTATGAGCAGTTCTACATATAGTGACAAATATTGGCAAAAATCCAAGCGTGAAAAAAAAGTTCCAATGTATGCCATACTCAGAAGCATGCTCCTAATGATATTATAGTGTTAAAAAAATTTAACATAATGAAAAATGAAATTCTTTGAAATCTTTATGAAACCTACATACTTGATAATCAACACCTTTTACCATCATTAGTCGTATAAATCCAAGTGTTAATATTGGAAATGCTTGTTTGACTGCCTTTAACAATTGCCCTTTGAATGGCTTAAACCGATTTTCTGGTTTTTTCAAAAACGGTTGTGCAGCCACGATACCTGATGAAAACACAAAAGAACCAACCCCGAGATCCATCTACACAAATATGTTAATATATTTTATATATTTTGAATGCAATAATAATAAATCAATAACATACAAGTGAAGTTCCATAAGTCTCTGTCTTTGCTAACCGCCTTGGAAAAACTCGAAAGTCCACCGCCAAAATTGACAAACAAGTTAAAATCATCAGAAAAGATCTATATGCACTTAAAAAAGGTTTCCTCCTGATCTTATTAATATTGATCTCTTGACTTCTATAATCAGCACCTGCCAAATCTTTATCATCGGATTTTTCTTCATTTACAGATAATTCAATTAGATCATCATCCGAATCACTTTCCCATCTCTTTTTTTTCTTTTCGTTATCATCATCTTTTATAAATTTAACTGAAGAATTTTTAATTATCACAAAGGTTGAAATTAATAAGATAACATTTAAATAAAAAGCATAGTCTACTAATAAAGTGCACGAGAGAAGATTCGGAATAATTAAAAACATGTATTCCAATAGAAAGTTTGAGATGGTATTGTTAGAAGCATAGTTGAAAATTTTAGCATATTTTTCCGTTGCTGACCATAAAACAAATGAATTCTGAATGATTGACAAAATGTAAATTATTTAATCGATCACTTGAATTTTTTTTTAATCAAAAATTTGGCCTAACTTACCAAAAAAACACACGCTATAAAAAAAACTTCCCACATTGATCCACCATCGTGGCCGGTAACCCAATCCTCTTTCGCTTCCTTATATTCAATTTCATCCATGATTTTTTCCATATTACTAATAAATCAGTTATAAAGAAAACGACTTTTTTTTTAATTTAAAATCCAGAAATGTAAATTTATAATTAATGTTTATAATGGTAGTACGTACGTACGAATTGGTTTATCTGTTATAACGATAATCGTTATGCATTATGTACGTACGTAAAAGTCAAAATTATGTAAAGTGCTGCAATAATAACATTACTATTAGATTTTACGCATAAAATTGATCGTAAATTACTATCAAAGAATCACAACGGTGCAAAAAAGTTTCTTAAAATATTATATGAAAGTTATATTGGAAGTTTTTGTGACGTGGTTTTAATGTTGACTCAGATTCGTTTAAAAATCTTGCCAGGTATGTCAGGATCTTCGTAAAATTCGGTAAATTGGATTGTAATTTTGATCCCATGATATTTAGTTTCTGTACATTCAAATCAAAATGATGCAATAATGCTGGTCAAACTTTTTGTAAATCTGGTACTTTATGAAAATTACATGAAAATTGATTTTCTGAAACGTACGTATGTACGTAAAATTACATGTATTGTAAAATTGCAATTTATGCAACACATCCTTACCTAGGAGGTAGTTAGTAAAGTAGTATTGTACGATCGTACAAATATGTACGGACGTACGAAAATTGTGCAAACTTTTGATAGTACGTACCGGTACTAGAAGTTGGAATCGGTTTTAATAATTCGGGGTTATCACATGATTTTTGTAATACGTATTTTAGAATTTATTAAAATATTACAACTAGAGGCATTATCGTCCAGTGTATCAAGAAGTTTTGCTAATTCTTTTGTCTTTGCAACCAATTGCTGGCGAAGAATATCTCTCTTGGATT